AGAAGGGGCCATGTCTGTTTCCATAGAGACTTGGGTAGCATCTGAAGATGCTGGCCTTGACAGCATCCTTGTAGCAAAGGAAGGGAAGAGAGAAGAAGTAACCAGGAAGCATCTTTCAGTCCTAGGAGTGTACTCACGGGGATTATGTTATCTTCCAGGTCCATGCCCCACCCTTGCTTGAGTTCACTGGATTGAGCCTAGACCAGAGCTGAAATGACAGCATGGTACGAAATGACCCAGGAGTTGGGACAATGTTTCATGGAACACTGGTGTTGAGAGCCTGCTCCACCTTGGCATCAGTGAGTCACTTAATTCAGGTTAAGCCCCAAGCTGAAAGCTCTCTTCTTCTGCACCCGGCTCATCTGGATCCCGGCTTAAACACAGAAAAGGCTGGAGAGGGTTAGGGGTCCCTCGAGGAAAGGCAGTGGTGGGAGGAGGGGATGGTGGCTTGTCTGAGCTGGCTTCCAGGCTCTGCTCAGTGCTCCTGTACTCCTGCCCCAGAGCAGATGTCTCTAGCCCTAGTTTAACTCAATCCCTGGGCCTCATTGCTTCCCTCCAGCCCTTCTTGATCCTACTATGCATCCGCATCCCTCCCCAAGTGTCCCCCTCCTGATCTGCAACTGACTTCCAGAATGTAATGGCTTTCAGACCTGATCCCCACCAGGCTCTAAGTGACCCCCACACTGCCCTCAAACCCATCTCCTGACTATGACCCTTACGTGAAAGTACTTTGTCTTGGGAAGAAGTGAGCTGTGGTCTGATTGAGCCTTTGTTACCCCAAATAGACTTGCATAGCTTCTCCTTCAGAATGAGGGTGCCAGAGAGATGGCTGAGCAGTTAAGAGCACTGACTGCTCTCCCAGAGGACCCGGGTTCTATTCTATTCAGCACCCACATGGCAGCTCCCAACCATCTGTAACTCCAGCTTCTGATGCCTCCAAGGAAACCAGGCATGCACATGGTATATCAACACACATAGGCAAAATACTCATACATATACTTTTAAATGATACATAAAGTCACAGGGGAGGGGGGGGAGTTTGGTCACTCAGAGGGCTGAGGAAACACTCCAGTACATTCCGGGGTAACCCATGTGTCTTCATTGCTTCTGCCTTCTGGTGTCTGCACACCCAGAATGGAGTTCCAGGTAACAGAACCTATGCTTTGTTTTGGTTTTACGATTTTTATTTTATATTATGAGTGTTTGCCTGCATAAATGTAAGCACACCACGTGTATACAGTGTCCATGGAGGTCAGAAGAGCTGGTTGTGTGTGTGTGTGTATGTGTGTGTGTGCTGTGTGTGTGTGCTGTGTGCGTGCTATGTATGTGTGCGTGCTATGTATGTGTGCTGTGTGTGTGCTCTGTGTATGTGTATGCTGTATGTGTGTTGCTGTGTGTGTGTGTGTGCTATGTGTGTGTGTGTGTGTGTGTGTGTGTGTGTGTGTTGGGGAGCACACCTGGGTCCTCCTCCAGAGCAGCTTTTTCAAACTCTGAGGCATCTCTCCAGGAATAATTAATTATTCCTGTCTGTCTCTGTGTGTGTGTGTGTGCGCGCGCGTGCGTGCGTGCACACGTGTACACACGTGTGTGCATTATGTGTGTGAGCAGCAATGACTGCTGCATGTGAGAAGGATCAAGGTAAACTTTGTGGAGTTTACTGCACATGGATTCTGGGGATCGATCCCAGGTCATCAGGCTTGGCAGCAAACACCTTTACCTGCTGAGCCATCTCACTGGCCCAGGATCTGAGATTTTGAGTAAGAATTCAGGGACTTTTCTGGCTCTCCACTGAGGAGCCTGTCTGCCCTTCACATGCACACATGCAGACAGTTACATGTTCTGTGCACATAATCCTGAAAATGCACCCATGTTTAATTTGTTTAAGTATGCACATACTCACACAAGTCTTAAACCAGAATGTAAACTCCATGAGGAAAAGACCATTGTTCTCCCATGATACCCATGATATAGTCCCAGTTCTAATAATAGTCCTGGTATGTAACAGATGTTTGTAGAAATAATGACTTAATGAACACATATTTGCAAAGAAATATATTATGCATAATAATAGATCTTACCTACACATGCAGATTGTCTACACAGCTCTGGCCTCCAACTCACAGAGATTTGTCTATGCTGGGATTAAAGGTGTGGCCTACCACACCCTAATGAAGGTTTTTTATGTGGAATTTATTTATTTTTATTTTATGTTCATTGGTGTTTTGCCTACAAGTATGTCTATGTGGAGCCCCTGGAGCTAGGGTTAGAGACAGTTATGAGTTGTCAAGCGGGCGGTGTGGCTGGGAATTGAACCCTTGTCCGCTGGAAGAGCAGCTAGTACTCTTAATCGCTGAGCCATCTCTCCAGCCCTCCCTTGAAGCATCTTTGTACAATTTAACGAAAACTCTCAAGGCTCCTAGCCCAGGCCGGGCTGCCACTACCAGACATATCCACTAGATGGCAGCCTTTCCCCAGCGCCTGTACTCCCAAGACTTGCCGGAGAGGTCGCTTTTCCCCACTAAAGGCACCGTTCTGGGTGTTAGGTGGACAGAAGCAGCACACCCCACCCCACCACCGTCACCTTCAGCTGCTTTGTGAGCGCGTCCTTGGTTCCCAAAATCTGCAGTTTTGGCCTCTTCAAAATCAAGTTCTCCCTCTCCTCTCCAGCTTCCAGGCTTTATACTGGATGGACGGATTTCCCCTGGAATCTCCAGTTCCGTGTGTGTGTGTGTGTGTGTGTGTGTGTGTGTGTGTGTGTGTGCGTGCGTGCGCGCGCGCGCTAAGCCGCACACCCTCGATGAGCCCTACAGCCTTATTAAGTAAGCAGAAGTCGCCAGAAGCAGTGTCTGCACTACAGCCAGTCCAAAGACGGTGACGGAGTCAGTGCCTTTAGCACTCCCGTGTCACGCACACTTGTATATACAATTGTCTCCACACATCCTGCCCTGAATAGAGAAGAAACGCAGCCAGGTTAGCCAAAAGCAAGGGAACAGCCCGCCCCGAAGCTTGGAGGCCAGGACTACGCGTTTGGGAGGGGCTTGATTAGGATTAATTCTGCTGATCTCTCTCCCGACCTCCCGGTGGGCGCAAAACGGAACTCTTTTGCTACACCTCGAGCAAACGACTTAAAGTCGCAAAGGTGGGCGCTAGGGGAGAGGGGGGTAGAGTGGTGCATTGAGCATCTCCCACCTCCAGGCCTGGGCCTCCCTGGCTCAGCTCTCTAGGAGCAGCGCGCAGCGGCTGTGAGGCTTTCAGTGAAGAAGGCTTAGAAACCCGTGGGGCTGCGGAGCCGGGAGTGCCCGAAGCCGCTCAGTTCCCCCGTCCTCCCCGCCTCCCCTCCCTTGGGGGTGGCGGGAAATTATTTATTAAAACACCGCCCGCGTTCTCATTTATTTGCGGTGAATAATCCTAGGCATCTCAGCGCGTTTATTAAACCTTTCCCGTCCCCGCGCCCGCATTACTTTAATAATAAATCGCGTGTCACTTTCCGACGACATTATTAAACCCCGTCCGCTGCAGGAGAGGCGGGGTGCGGGGAGGATGAAGGCGGTGGGCCGCCGCGCATCCTTCCACTCCAGGCTTCGGGGCCCAAAGCCTTCCAGGCGGCAGAGGGGGAAACCGAAGGGTCATGGAGGTAAATCCCTAGAGTGTGCAGACGCGACAGATTCGGATTTAGGACAAGAGTCAACCTGTGCTCTGCAGGTGGGTGAGAGGGGACAGGCAAGCCTCGGAGGCACCTTGGAGCCCCACAGAGGGTAAAAAAAAAAAAAAAAAAAAAAAAAAGCTACGGTGGACGCAGGGACACAGACCCGGGTCCCTTCTCGCAGGGAGGAACCGGCCTTCTTGAAGTCACACGCCCACTCGATCCAGACCCTTCCACTCTCCTACAGCCTTGTAGTTTGCTGCGAGAGAACTTTTTTGGGAAAGTGACTGCCGCCAGGCAGAAAAAAAATGGAAACTCAGAGCGTACACGACCGAGGGACGGCCTGGTCCCGAGGATGGGGTTCTCGGCCACGCCTCTCCCAGGGGGCCCAGCAGCCTGCGTTGCGTCCCACAAAGCAAACGCAGACGCTGAGCCAAAAGCCGTCCCTCCCCGCGGTGGCGCCAGCTCCGGGCGGAGCCGGGGCGCGGAGGAGGTTGTCGCTTACCACACACAGCCTGATGACTAACTCCAATTTACCCTTAGACAATTTCATAAACTCCTCAGTGTCCCCGGGCTAGGTACACGGAATATAAGGAGAGACTTAGGTCAAAGAGCTCTTTGGTAAAGGACCTCAAGTCAGATAAGACACAGGTCACAACTGGGACTTTGGAAATAGGGAACAGTGACTTTGGGTTCAGCTGGGATGTGGGAAGGGAGAAGATGAGGCTAACACGGGTGCCCCAACCACTCAGTGTAAGCATTCATATTGGGGTCCCACCGGCATAGGCCTGGTTCCCCACTCTGCCTAGGGCGGGGGAGACAAGGACTGGGAAATAGGAAATCTATCCCTATGCCAACCCGCTGTAGGGTGGGGTTGTGGGGGGGATTAGGATAACTTCAGTCCTCCCTCCAACCAGACGGCTCCAGGCTCCCTCATTAGAGGACGAGAGAGGGCAGTACAGGCTCGAACTCAAGCTCCTGTTGAAGTGAGAAGCCACTCAGGGGTGTCCGGTGTCCACGCGCACATCTGTGAGAACTGTTTACAGCAGTGTGGCTTCGTCTGTCTATATTTGTTTATTGGTGCCCACTGTGTCTAGTCATATGCTAGTTGGGCTTTGTCCACTCCAATGGTACAAGGCATGGGGCTGCCCCACCCCTCTCTGCACGGAAGAAAGGACTACGGTTAGTAAGTGCCCTAGGAACTCGGTGACGTGGAGGGCTTCTGGGAGGTGGGTTCTGAGGAAAGGGAAACCAAGGCTACAAGGAGCGCCAAACAATCCATGAGAGGCCACTGCTCGCCCTTTCCAGCCTCTCCACATCTTCTCAACAGCAGGGGTGGATACTCTATCCACACACCCACAATTCAGAGATCCTGACCTAGTAGTAATCATCTTCACTTTCTGCCTCCTCCTCAGGAACCAAATTCATTGATTGCAGCTGGGAGAATCCTGTGGCGTTCAGCTGGTCTGCAAACATGTGATAAAGGGAACAATCAGAAGAGATGCTGATGTTGCAAGCAAAGCTCAGTGTGTGGGAAGGCTATGTTCACTGTGTACAGCATTCACATGCAGACTTACACGAATTCAAGGGTCCTAGGATACCTCTTCCTCCTGGTGCCCGGAGCTCAGAGCTCAGGGCTCCCTTACCTAGTGTGAGCACTGTCAGAGTAGCAGAGGCTTCCACTTGGCCCAGGGCATTCCTGGCAAGGCAGCGGTAGGTGCCCTCATCACTAGGGCGCAAAGCCTGAATCTGTAGCCAGCCAGTCACCTCAAACTTCTGAGGTCCACCCCTAAACTGGAGCCAGATGTGTTGTCAGCCAGATGTATTGTCATTTGGGGCAGCCCTAGGTTTTCCAGGAGTATGCCTCTGCTCTCTCTTCTTACCTGTACAGAGATATGAGGGTCATCCCCTGGCAGCTGGATGTCCAGGCCATCTTTCCTCCACTGGATGGAGGCCATGGGATAGGCGAACACCTCACAGCCAAAGATCACATCCTGCCCAGTCACATTCCAAATATTGTGAGGTGGTGACACGATCTGGGGTTCTGGTGTGGGGGGGATGAAGGAAGGATGAGGCTTGGGAACAGGAAGCTGCATCCAGCTCAGCAAGAACACAAGTTACAGATTCATGTGGATATGTTTAAGCCAGAACACACCTCATGCTGAGGTCAACACACTTCTGCAAAGAAAATATGCCGAGAGCAGATGGAGGCAAATGTAGGCGCTGTTCCACACAAGAGCACAAAAGCAGGTACACAGCTGCACAGGTACACAGAGCAGTGTGCAAACTGCACAGGCACGCACGCCTACAGACCCGTAGCTTAGCTGAGCAACCACACACTGTCCTGGACTGCTCCCCTGTCCTCGATGCACCCTGGGGCCCCTTTCCTGCGGGCTGTGCAACCAACACCTCTCTCCCGCCTTCTCCCTTTTCTAACCAGGCCCAGTTCCCAAAGGCCTGAATGGCAGCCGCATTCCAAATGTCGTGAGAATGTGACTCTCTCTGGGCTCTGAGCGGGCGGAGGTGGGACTAGTGCCGAGGTAGGGAACCTGAAACCACCTTGTGGCACCGGGGAAAAAGGCCGGGCCCTCCTGCTGGCGCGTTTGTTTTCATTGCAACTCCAGCCCAGCCAGACTTGATTAGCTAGAGGCTGAAGAAGTGAGCGCCGCCAAAGAAAACCTCAGGCTTGAACATCCCCCAGCCCCAGCCCCAAGGGTGAGGGGCGAGAGAAGCAAAAAGCCCTGTTTCCTTCACTAATCCCTAAATGCAAGAGAAAAGGGATAGGCAGGAGCCAGGGTTAACAGTCCGTGTCTCACAGGACTCTCTCTGCCAGGGCTCCAGCAGTCTGGGCAAAGTCGGGGAGGGGGGGTGGTCTTTTCAGTTCTGACCCAGCTATTGGCTATGCGCCTGTACCCTCGGAAGGCCGGTCCCTGCCAGCCTGGATAGGGTTCTCAGGAGGCTCATTACATTGAACCTGCAACAAATCTCGACCTGCGTCTTAGTGGGCAGCTTTTGCGGCCCTCGGGCTTACTCATCTTTTCACTCTGCTGACCAATCCTTTCGGGGGTCGGGGAGCAGTGCCTTTAGGAAGCGCAAGTCCTGGTACATAGAGCTGGGCTTGCGTACCCGATTCGCAGGGACCTGGATGCACCACGGTGAGGTTAGCGTCGGGCCGAGCGCGGGCGGCCTCCTGCAGGCGGCAGATCTGCGCGTAGGTACGGCCGTCGGAACCACACAGTGGGCGCTGAGAGCGACAGGCACACAGCGGTTCCGGCACCTCTCCTCGGCTCAGGTCACCGCCTGCGTCTAGCCGGCACTCGAGCTGCTCGCCGCAGCGCCCGTAGAAGTTGGCGCTGGGGTCCAGATCGCAGAGCTGGCCCTCCAGGTTGGCGCATTCCCAGCAGCAGCCGCACGCATCGCGCACCCGGCCTGCTAGGCAGCCCCGCGGCGCAGCGCACTCTTCTGGCCGGCAGGGAGCACAGCCCTCGCCCTCGGCTAGTAGCCGCAGCCAGCCTCGCCGCAGGTAATCAGTGCCTGCGGACCGCCTCGCGCTAACTGGGAGCGGGGTCCACACCAGCAGCGGTAATAGTAGTAGCAGGGGCAGCGCCAAGGTAGGTGCAGCATGGTTAGCTGGGAGCCCTGTGAGCACTCGGGGCATCAGCGCGTAGGTGGCACCCTGCCAGGAGAGGGAAGCCGGGTCCGGAGGTCAGAAATAAAGCGAACGCGGAAAGATCGGCCTCACTGCTCCTCGCACAAAGCTTGTTTCTCACACTGCCCCTTCCTCTGCTACCTTGGAGCTGACCAAAAGCCTCATCAAAGAGGCCGGGTTACTCCCCGGGGACTCTCTCTACCAACTGATAATTGATTGACCTGGTCTTGGGGGATAAAGTGAAGAGAGAGAGAAGGGATGAAAGGATGATAAAGCTCAGGATATGGTCCCTAACACCCATGCACGTACACACACATGCACACGCAAGCGCGCGCACACACGCGCACACACACGCATGCACCATCTTCATAAACATCCAACTTTGAGGCACCTTTGCCCCAGAGGTGTATAAAACTGCACCCGAAGTATGTTCAGGATGGGGTGATGATGGCGGGGAAGTCCCAGAGACTCACCTAGTGCCTTTCGTAACAGCTGTGATTTCCAATACTAAAGAACTGGTAGGGAACGGAGAGAGTTGCATGCACGGCCAGCCAGACCCGCTAGCCGCCCTTGCTTTCGTCGGGAGTCGCCCGCAGCCCACTGACCAACATTCAAAGAGAAGCTCCTCCGCCCCCTCTCCCCGCCCCTAGACGTCGACTACCCGCCTTCTTTCCAGGTCGCACAGGGACCCTCCCTGGGCCTTTTACTTCTACCCTAGCCCAAAGTCACAGTGAATGCACGGAGGAGTCACAACCAGACACCAGAGCTGGGAAAGCAAGAGGGCGACGCGGAGAGTAGGGGTGGGAATAGCCGAGCATCTCAAACCCTGACTGAACCCCTAGGTCCTGTCTCATCTGATTTAGTTCCCGGGAGCGGCAAACAGCTGCATGCATAACGGCAAGAAGGAAGAGTTCTGTTGCTAAGAAATTGTACGTTGGTGTGAGGGCGCTTCTGGAGGGCGGGCCCAGGGCCGGCTTCCTCCGGGGACAGTGTGCAGCTGTGCCCACCCCGTGCCCACCGGGGCGCTGACTACTCCAAGCCTTTCCATCTGCCATCCCACATCTGGCCACCTCCCTCCCACCACAGGGCAGGTGCTTGAACCGGCGAGCAGCCTGGTGATTAGCGGTCGGAACTGGCTAGCGGCCGCAGAGAGGCCGGCGGGCGACTCCCGGTAGGGCGTCTCTCGGGGTCCGGATTACAGGTTGCAAATCTGAGGATCTCGGGGCCAAAAGCGTTCAGTCTGGAGACCGCCACCAACGCCACGGTGGCACTTTGGGCTGGGGCCAGGAAGCAGAGCATCCTCGGAGGCCCGCCCAGCCCCCTGAGACAGGCAGGCTCCGCCCCTGCCGGCCCCCAAACGCCGCGCAGAAGCCGCACTCCTCCACCCGGAGGAGCCCCGGTTTCCCAGCGAGGGAGGGCGGGGCTTAGACCAGCCCCCGCCCACCGACATCACTGCCCGCGACTGCGCGTGCGCACGGGCCCCGCGGCGGCCTGGCTCTCTACGGCGGCCCGGGCCGCTGCTCTCGCTGAGCTGGTCTGAACTCGACCAGGCCCTCCTCAGAGGACGCTGCTCCCGGCCAGAGGGTTTTGACGACGGAGGACGAGAGCCGTACACTGACAATCCCAAACTCCGAGGGGGAAGGGAAGCGAGTTTCACGCGAGGTTTCGGAACTGTCGCGAGACTCGGAACGGGAGACGAGGCGCTCACACGGGAAAAGCCCGCGGGTTTTAAGCCGGGACTGGACAAGACAGGCGGGTGCCGGCGGGAGTACTAGGCAGTGCCTCGGCTGGAGGACAGCGAAGCGTTGACCCGGGAGCGGACGGAGGCTCTGCGGAGGTCCCTGTGTGACTGACAGTGCGCCCGGGGCCGGCGATCGCCCTCGGGTGCAGTGGGAGCTGCCCCGGATCTGAAGGAACTGGGAGCGCCCGGCGCTGAAGCGGCCTCGGGGTCCTAGGCGCTCCCTCACCCTGCCTTACCGACCCTACCGTTACCGGTGTGTGCTTTTAGGCTGCTATGCATTGCGCCTCTAGTAGAAACCACGCCTAGTTCACCACTGTGCTTTATGATTCTTTACTCCAGCGACTGACTGCCAAGTAAGGTCTCGGGAAGCATTTGTGCATTAAAAGTGAAAGATTCCCCGACTCTGAAAGACGCCTGAATTTTCTGCCACTAATGTGAGGCTGGGGATTAAATCGACGGGGAACGAGCGCCCTCTGGTGGATTGCAGCAGGTGGGACGAGTGACAATGCATACCGTCTGCACTAGGGATCCACAATAACTTTGAAAAACTTCTTGCTGTACGTTGCTGATGACCAAACCCTATTTTAGAGAGGATTTTTTCTCATAAGACAATTTGAAAGCCCAGCTAGACGTGTTCCCATATGCCCATCATCTGACACTTTACCTATTGCAGCTCTAAAACACGTTAAACAACAACAGCATTCATGAGATGTAGCAAAAGAATTTCTATTACTTATGCTTTAAAAGAGGATTTGGTTCAACCAGTCCTACTGTTGGGCCGAAGGAAAGTATTCCATTTGATGCAGTTACTGCTACCAGACAGCATCCACGAGGGGGGCAAGATTAAGATGAAAGCCTGACGGTTACTCTTTCATGATGTCTGTGTATATGGGAGCGGGCACATGCGTGCCACTGCACATGTTTGGAGCCCATGGGATAACTTCCAGGACTCAGATTATCTTCCATGTTGAAGTCGTCAGGCTTGTTTGCACATTCTTACCTGCCGAACCATCTTGCTGTTCCCTAGTCTTTTTTCCTACATTTATTTATTTATTTATTTATTTATTTATTTATTTATTTGTGTTTGTGCATGCACATGCATGGAGGTCAGAGGACAGCCTGTGGGAGTGTTCCCTTCCACCGTGGGAGCCCTAGGAACTGAAATCAGGCCTTCAGGCTTGGTACAAGTGCCCGACCTCTGAACCATCTCTCCAAACCCCATAATTCTCTAAAAATATGGTGAAATCCAGGAATGGTGGCACATTGCCTGTAATCCCAGAGCTCAGGAGGTGTAGGCAGGAGGATCAGGAGCTCAAGGTCATCTTTGGCTGCACGGGGATTGTGAGGCCAGCTGGGTTACACAATACCCTGTCTCCAAAAACAAACAACAGGGAAAACTCTTGGGACTACTTGGGAGGACTTACCTCAGAACCCTTGTTCTGGGACGGGTATTGAAATTAGTGGGGCATCGTTTTGAGGAGGAAGTGAAACACATGGTCTACACTGACAGAATGAATACAGATGAACTAACTGCTCTTCCTATGAGTATTAGGATCAATTCAGTCAGAAAGGCTCAAGATAGAATATTAAGATGAAATGCTTTGTATTGATCTACTATGACAAATAGGTGCTCTCATTAAAGTAGAAAATAAGATGAACATAAGCATATAGATACTGACCACAGCTATGTAAAGATATGTCATAAATATCAGTAAACACCCTGAGAGAATTTGGAATGACATTGGGTGTAACGCTCACTGTCTTTTATTTTGTAAAATTATTTTCATAATGAAAGAGTAGAGGCCAATCTCCCATACCACCCAAAAAAGTAAATAGAGACTTATTTTAGGTAAATTAGAATGTTAAATTGAGTCAGCCAGATAGGAAGACAAATATTGTAATTTATCTACAAGTAACATTACAAAATGGAACTAGAATAGCCAGCAATTGGCTTCTGTAATACCTAGGATCCAGGCAAGCTGAATGGGTTTTAAGACATCTAGACAGACAGCAGGCTAATGGTTTCTTTAGTTTATCCTTCTTCCTTCGTCTCAGGGCAGTTTCTTTCTGTCACCCACACCCTACCTTTAATATCTCTTCTGCTTCTGACAATCTGATGACCAATTTTTGTAAGAATAATGTTAGACGGAATATTTAAAGTAGTCTACATTTATTTAAAAATTTATGTGTAAAGTGGTGTATGTGTGTAACACATTCTACTCCAAGTATGTAAGTGCAGAGGCTCACACTACTGCAAGTATGTAAGTGCAGAGGCACTACTGCAAGTGTGTGTATGTGTGTAACTGCAGAGGCACACATTCTACTCCAAGTATGTAAGTGCAGAGGCACACACTACTGCAAGTGTGTGTGTGTAAGTGCAGAGGCTCACGCTACTGCAAGTGTGTGTGTGTAAGTGCAGAGGCACACGCTACTGCAAGTGTGTGTGTGTAAGTGCAGAGGCACACACTACTGCAAGTGTGTGTATGTGTGTAACTGCAGAGGCACACGCTACTGCAAGTGTGTGTATGTGTGTAACTGCAGAGGCACACGCTACTGCAAGTATGTAAGTGCAGAGGCACACGCTACTGCAAGTGTGTGTGTGTGTTAAGTGCAGAGGCACACACTACTGCAAGTGTGCATGTGTGTAAGTGCAGAGGCACACGCTACTGCAAGTGTGTGTGTGTGTAAGTGCAGAGGCACACGCTACTGCAAGTGTGCATGTGTGTAAGTGCAGAGGCACACGCTACTGCAAGTGTGCGTGTGTGTAAGTGCAGAGGCACACGCTACTGCAAGTGTGCGTGTGTGTAAGTGCAGAGGCACACGCTACTGCAAGTGTGTGTGTGTGTGTCAGTGCAGAGGCACACGCTACTGCAAGTGTGCATGTGTGTAAGTGCAGAGGCACACGCTACTGCAAGTGTGCGTGTGTGTAAGTGCAGAGGCACACGCTACTGCAAGTGTGTGTGTGTGTAAGTGCAGAGGCACACGCTACTGCAAGTGTGTGCATGTGTGTAAGTGCAGAGGCTCACGCTACTGCAAGTGTGCGTGTGTGTAAGTGCAGAGGCACACGCTACTGCAAGTGTGCGTGTGTGTAAGTGCAGAGGCACACGCTACTGCAAGTGTGTGTGTGTGTGTCAGTGCAGAGGCACACGCTACTGCAAGTGTGCATGTGTGTAAGTGCAGAGGCACACGCTACTGCAAGTGTGTGTGTAAGTGGAGGACAAAGAACAGCTTTGGTTATGGGGATGGAACTCCACATGCCAGGCTCTACAGCAAGCGCTTTTACCCACTGAGCCATCTCACCGGCCTGCCTTCTACATTTGTTGTTCTAGCTCCTTCTTTCTCTTTACACAGGGTCTCACTCTGTAGTCCTGGATGACCTGAAACGTGCTATGTAGAATCAGGCTGGCTTCAAACTCACAGACAATAATAACCCTGTCCTTAATGCACCCTTTATCTTCCCCTCTCCCCCACTGTGCTGAAACAACTAAGACAGTTCCTAGGCTGGGGAGGTAGCTCAAAGGTAGAGCCCTTGCTTGAATAGCACTGAAAGTTAAGTTCTCTGAGACAGTCCCTGAAAGGAAGGAGGCCATCTTCCTAAGAGCCCCACCAAGACCACATGAGCCGCCAGTAAGAGCTCTGGTACTCCACATATGCCTGTACCATATGTTCAAGACAGGCTCACATCACACCTCCAACCTTTGCTCTTACAATATAATGAAGTCTAACCTCTTCCCCCTGGCTGTGAGCACGCAGACTGCTCAATCCTGAAGTTATGGTAAAGGACCATAAACCATCAGGCATCCTTC